GGGGGGGGGGGGGGAGGTTGCCAAAATAAATTAATAATTTTTCTCATCTCAAACCCTCTGTTACATTCTTTCTGCAGTGCCCCCCCAGAAATTGAGAGCCAGCTACGGGCTTGTGTCCCCTACTTTATTATTTTACTCTGTCAAACTAAGGGGCCGATTACATGGAGAGTTTTCAGCCTGGGTTTTAGTCAGAGCTATATTTATCCCTTGTAGTAAACAAACCCGGGCTGAAATGTCATCCCGGGCTGAAATCATACGGTATCACGAAAGGCAATATTCCGCTGGTTTGAGCATTTAAAACGCTGATTAGTTGACTATTTGTCTTGTGTAAGACTGTGGTTGCATATAAAGGATTAAAGATGAGGCAAAATGCAAAATAAAGCCATTTAAACGATTGTTTTTTTAGCCCGGGCTGAAAATCTCATCCCGGGTGACATAAACTGGGATGAAAATTTCAACCCGGGCTGAAAATCAGCCCGGGTTGAAATTTTTGCCATGTAATTTTCAGAAAATTCATTTTATATTGAATTTATAGGGGCGCCGGGCTGAAATTTCATCCCGGTTTGCCCGGCTGAAATTTATTTCATCCCGGGCTGAAAACCTCCATGTAATCAGCCCCTAATGCCAGACAATATTACTCGCAAAGGGGGAGTGCTGCCGCTGAATGGGTTATTAAAACATGTTACATGCTGTTATTCATAACAGACATTACAAGCTTTACATGAACAGATAGACAGTGTAAATGTGTTTTACTGCAACTGATCATGATTTCTAGGAATACAATGGGACAACTGCAATTCTCAAAAAAATTGTAGTCTGGACCTATATTAAAGGTCAACTTTTGTGAACACTGACATGTAAAGACATGTTTCATGGACCCTACAACAAAACGATTTCTTGTCCAACTTAGTCTGACAAACACCTCCCACACATGAACCACACTATAAAAATTTAAATTGATCTGCATTGCTAATCCGTTTAGCGACATACCACCACTTCAAATGATTAACAATTTATCAAATAATAATTTATTTACAACCAGCTGTCTGTCTTTCAACAAAAAGCAAATTCGAATACTATATTAAAAGCTAAAATGTTTGATAAACCTTTTTGAAATTTATGAAAACTTACTAAAATCTACGCAAGCTATTGTTAAACACACTTATTTAAGTATTTAAAATACCATTATATGCCCAATTGTACTGTTTTGTACAAATGAAGTCAATCGGAACTTATTAACTATTTAACATTGTTCTAATTCCGAACAAACTCTAATTGCAACATATAAATGTAGCAAAATCTTAACTTCACTTACTTTTAATGCGAAATACTTGTCCGTTTCCATTTTATCAGACTTTCTTTTGATCTCTGCCAAATGCTCAGCAGTAAAGACCTTTGGCCTGACACCCTCTTGTCTCTCTTGGCCTGCTGGAGAATTACCATCGCGAATTTGGACCTCATATTGCTCTGCATTTATCGAACCTTGTCCTGTTTCAACCGAAGGATGATCAAATACTAACTGTCCCTTTTGTACATCTGTACTTTCAGCCATCATTTCAGGGAGCGATTGTCGTCAACAAAATTTCAAATTTTGTGATCAAGCAGCCGATTCGTCTATTCGACTATTTTTACGTCGACCGGCTACCGCCAAAAGTGTCGCGAATGTCAAGACTGTGGGCGCACTTTCTTGCGGAGGTGATGATACGTCATGTTACACGCATGTAGTAAAGGAACATGCTCACTGATCTCCATATACATATCCCGCAGCAAGAATTACTCGTCTTCTCCACTTCGTGCAACTTCGTTTTATCGCAAATTTCGACTAAAAATCCCTTATAGATAACTCTATCCAGTATTTTCCAGTATGATAAGCAATTGTATAGTAAAGTTTCCGAAAAGTTACACGTAAAATATGTAATTATTTACCGTTATAAAGTTACTTTATGATTTTTGTAACTAGATAAAAAGTTACTTTCAATTTTTTGTTACATCTGCAGGTTTTAATATTTACAATGACAGTGAGTTCAATTAAATTACTGTGTAAAACGTACAGGATAACACAATTGCAAGCCGCCAAATACGCAAGGAGGTTATTGTGCTGTTAACTGGTTTATCAACCACATTAACATATTTAAAGTTGATTATATAGAGAATAATACATGGGTGCTTGGAAATACCAGATTTATTTCGAGTGTTGAACATGATATCTCACGAGTGAGCGCAGCGAACGAGTGAGATATGACCAGATATCATGTTCAACACGAGAAATAAATCTGGTATTTCCAAGCACCCATGTATTTTTTTGTTTATTATGTAAAGGACAGTCTTTGAAAAGCGATAATTTTTACAGAAAAGCGATAAATGAAAAGCGATAATTTTCACATGTGAGATTATCATGAAGACATGAATAATCTCACATGTGAGATTATCACTTTTATCAGTGCTCGAAATCTCTATAAAGCACTATACTTTATATAATAAATAGTTAGTATGAACACAATATCAAGTACTGCATAGCAAGTACTAACGCGTTCTCGTTCCATATCGTTCAAAATGTAAATAGTTGCAGACACATCTTTCCAAAACGTAACTAGTTACCGTTACAGTTACTTAAAAAAGTAATGATTACTTGTAATAATTTCGTTACTTGTGTAACGATGGTAATTACAGCACTGTCCTCTGGAATTACTATGGGCAAATAGCAAGATGTCCCTATGAAAGTATGGAGAACAGTATAGACAAAACTGACAGGGGACTCGTTTTAGAGCCATAGAGCTATATAAAGTATATAGTCAACTATAGACTAATCTAAACTCCTATATTCTAAAAGCACACTCTCATTCAAAGAGTGGAGATTCGATCTGAGCTTCCCTTGGGTGTCAATGCTATATTTGAATGATCTTGAATAGCTGGAGGGTGAGTAGTCACTTAGTAAGGTACGAGACTAACCCTCCAGCTATTCAAAAACACCACTGACATGCACTCAAGGGAAGCTCAGATTGAACCTCCACTCTCTTTGAGTGTTAGCTGTATTTATACTGGATAGCTCCACCAGCTCTATAGCGCTGATGGAGCTGTATCCAGTATAAATGAAGTTAGTCTAGTTTAATTACCTCAACTAGATCTCTAGGAAAAACAATATAAAATTGATAGAACTACAGCCTATACGGTATAAATAAAGCTAGATATAATATTACTGTATAAATTTAGTTTACTTTAGTTTACATTAGTTTACACAATTAGTATTTAAGAATGTTCTCTATATATGCGCTCTCGTTATGAATATACATGCATTTATCGTTCAGATACACCAAGTTCGACCGTAGCTTTGCTGGCACCAAAATCGTTCTCGGCGACACAAATATAAGACCCTTCATCTCCCCTTTTTACATTACGAATTAAAAGTACTGCATCTCTTATTAAATAGTCCTTGTTCAGAGGCGAGCCGTCAGCTCTACTCCACGTGACAGTCACGGGAAGAGTGGATGATACATTGCACTCGATTGTTACACTGTCGCCTGGTCTGGTCGTCACGTGACTTGGCCGCACTTCGACCTTGGGAAGAATGTCATTTCCTGAACAAAATAAAAATCATTGATGCTTGTGGTAAAATGGTTAGTGTATACGCCGGGAATCGATTTCTTCAATATACAATTGCGCGATTATTATTTGAATCCATAAGCGTACACGCGCAAATTATCACCTCTTGCAGCAAGTCTGCCAACCACCTCGTACCCAGGGCTAGCCGCGAGTTGAAGGTAGCCCTGAGTACGAGGTTGGTCTACCAACAAGCCGTCAACAAGTTGTGTTCGCACTGCTTGTCCCAAGTTGTCAACAACTATGGAAGAACTTGTTAACAGTTAAAATTTTGGTCAGTGTACCATTTAAGGGGTCAAAAAACCAAAATTTTTCGGAACGTAAGACAAAGTTTCCAAAAAACCAAAATTGACCACCAAATTTACTTCATTTTAGACAAAATTTACAGAATTTGTCCCATTTTTTTTTATTGCAAACCAAAATTGCCCGACTGTTGATCGAATATTGCCCGACTGCCCAACAAACTGGGGGGGCTACCGCCCCAACCCCGCCCCCCGCCCGGTACGCCTATGTTGTTGGTATTATCAGACTTGTCCGTCAACAACTTGTGTTCGCACTGCTTGTCCCAAGTTGTCAACAAGTATGGAAGTGGTTTCATTCTTGTTGACAACTTGGGACAAGCAGTGCGAACATAACTTGTAACAACCTTGTTGACATTATCAGCAAGGTTGTTCCAACAAGTTCGATACAGTCATGATGTAACAATATTGTTACAACCTTGTGTCGTCAACCTTGTAACATTTTTGTTGAAACATGACTGTATCAGACTTATTAGAACAAGTCGGGCAAAATACAAAAACGTCGGTCAAATTCTTTCTGGCCGTCTAATTTTTTCCCTGCCTATGTTTGGCCGTCGATGCCCTGCTTGTTTGCCGCTATACAAATAGATAAAGCTTACTTTGAACAACGATCGATACAGAAGCCTTGGATTCGCCTTTCTCTGTCGTGACAGAACACTCATAAATGCCAGTGTCTCCAATTTTAATTTTCACAAGTTCCAGCTCAAAATCGTGACTCAGTACCCCTTGCTTTGACTGTCGTGTCCACTGCACTCTCGTCACTTCATCTTTGCCAGCAATTTCACACATAAGATGGAGGGTTTTGCCTTCCATGACGGAAATAACCTTGCGTGTGGGTCTGATCGTCACTTCTGGTAACACTGACTTAACTAAAAACACAGTCGGAAAATATACAAGTGATTTTTAATAGGGAAAGGTAGTTTTAATTATAAAGAGGAGAATGTTAGTACAGATAATAGCATGGTTTCGAGGGCAATTTGGATATAACATGCACGAGTGAGTTTTTTAAAGACCACAAGTCTGAAGGACGAGTGCTATTTGAGGTCTTTGAAAAACTCACGATTTACATAAAACTATTCGAGACATCACTTGACCAAGTGTGCATGGGAATCTTTCCGCACCGCTAAATGCGGCCAAGTTTGTTTTGAAAAAGAATACTTTAAAATTTTTCCCGCCAAAACTTTAGCTCAATTTTGATTGGTTCATAGCGATTACAGAAAATTATATACTGTGATTACGGAAAATTGCACTGTGATTACAGATTCTTGCACTGCTGTTTGGGATTATAAACTGCACTGAAATGAACCAATCACAGAAGACTAATACTTTTATGTATGATATTATATTTAACATAACACTCGACTACGACCAATGTTGCGAAAATTACCAAGGAAAAGTAATGAGTACAAATTACAATTACTTCTCCGACAAGGTAATTATTACAAATTACTTTTCTTCAAACGTATAATTAATGACGAATTACAAACTACTTGTTAAAAGGTAATTGCTTGTCAGATTACTTTTTACACAGGCTCTAATAAGGACTGTTACAATATCAAAATGCGCCTAAGCAACATACAAAACAAGTCTTATAATTCGACTGCGATGAATTGGTTACTTAATTTGAGTATATGACAATATCTGTGCAGTCGCATAACCAGCTAACCCTATACAGACAATCAACTTCGATGCCATTTTCTTCTGAAATTTCCTGATATGGTAAGGTTGGAAAAAAATAAAAGCACACAGAATTTACTAACGCAAATTAGTTTCTTTAAAATGTTACTCGTTACCTAATATTATGTTACTAAACTACTTATATTGCTGTATTTAACACAGTTCCACCTCCCTACCTTTATTTACGAAAAGACTACCAATAGCAGATGCCTGACCATATTTATTTGTCGCCGTACAAATGTAGCGCCCTCGTTCTCGTATTGTCGTTTTCTTTATTTCAAGATAATTTCTTTTCACCACAGCTGTTCGAGGTAGTATTCCGCCAAGTTTAAGCCACTTTATCTGCATTGGCTCTTCCCCAGAAATCTCACAACGTAAGACTGCTGTCTCTCCTTCATCCACTGTTACACGACTGGGTCGCATGTACGCCTTAGGTGCACTGTTAGGTCCTGTAGTCAATGGATCATTCAATCAGATCAAGAAATCAACCAATCAATAAAGCAAACTTAGAATCAGGTATATATATATATATATATATATATATATATATATATATATATATATATATATATATATATATATATATATATATATATATATATATATAAATTAAGGTACAACAAATCAACAAAATCCACTAGGCATCTTACGAAACTATTTAGTAATAAAGATGCCTAGTGGATTTTGTTGATTTGTTGTACCTTATATACATATATACATATATACATATATACATATATACATATATATATATACATATATATATATATATATATATATATATATATATATATATATATATATATACATATATACATATATACATACATATACCGGTATATATACATATATACATATATACATATATACATATATACATATATATATATATATATATATACATATATATATATATATATATATATATATATATATATATATATATATATATATATATATATATATAT